TGAAGGCGAGTTTGTTTCGCTTTCAAAAAGCAAAAGCAGCGCTCGCACGCGTCGTAACAGTGAAGAACATTTGAATGAGGTCTGATTGGCTTAGAGTTGCTTGTTGCTAAGTGAGATAGTTCCATTACCAGTAGACCGTATTTTTTTCAAAGCGATTTGTAAGTGTCTTGTTTCACGATTTAATGTCGCGTTCTTAATTTAATAATTTTTTTCACGTTAACTTTCATATTATCGATCATCCGGACCCGCGATTAACCCCACTATTTTGTCTTGTCCCAACGAGTCCGGATAATCGAGGTTCGACTTTAGTGACATAATGTTATCGGTATGGTGATTTAAATATGAATTAGATCTCGATAGGTCGGTTAAAAGGTGGAATTTTACATGCCTTTTCCGTACAAACATTTTTAGTGACTTCATGTTTCTCTTTATTTATACGGAATATACTCATCGGTATCAAAACGTGAGTTGAGTGAGGACGCTGGAGAATATACACAAAGTATCTCCCCATGATTCATCGCTGAAACAGCGGATCCTTTTAGTAAGTTTGTTGGTGTTACAAATAATAGAACACAAATCCTCAGTCATCGGTTTCCGCTAAGAGCCGTGACCAGAGTTAATAGCTTTAGGAAATCTGAATAATTACCCGAGTGACGGAAAAGCGATCACAGAAATAGCTCCTTGCGAGTAATGGCTCTTATTTTAAAACGGTTGACAGCTGAAACGAATAATCCTTGAAAAAAGGTTCGACAGTGTTCTCCTTGTTCTCCAATGAACATTTCATATTGCTTCATGATGATATTAGTCTTTTGTGATTTGGAATTTATACAAACCTTGAGGTTTTTTATTTTGTGTCGGGTTTCTTGGGAGACGTATGTTAAAATTTTTAGGACTTTTACAAAGAACGTCTGATCACTGACATTTGTGAAAAGCGGCAATGTCTTTACTGAACACATTTGCAGCTGGTGACGTTAGCGGAACGAAACCTTGTGAGTGAGGGAAAACAGCTACTGAGCTAGCACACTTTCACGAGGACGAAGGGATATATGTTCTACAATATCTTATACACCGTTGCGGTATTAGTCAAAATATTCCTTTCTAGATAGTGTCCTCTAACGAAAACCCCGCCTTGAGCATTTATGTCCTTGCGTTTCTTCGGAAGACCTGGAGGCTTAAAAAATCAATTTTAACACTTTCCGGAAGTTTTAATTTTAGAAAGAAAATAGACCATCTTGTGGTCGCAGGAAAGTAAAGAATCGATTTCTAATACACGCGTTTGGTGGTAAGTCTTTGTTTGTCACTGAAATAACTGAGCTTGGCCGTCGCAAAAAATAATTACACAGCTGCTAAAGTCGGTGAAACAAAGTTAAATAACAACTCCACAATGTCTGAGGAGGGAGGTCTGCTGGCTGACTTTCACTTGATTATGTCGGGCAAATAATTAATGGACGCTTGTGCAGTTTCTCACTTCGTTAACAAAGCCGGAGTCTTTCCCAATTAAAGAGAATGATGAATGGAATAAAGAGAGAAGGACCAATTCTTAAAATCTAATTTACAAAACA